CTACAAGTCCGCGATCCCAAAAACCAAGACCCAATTTCACACGCAGGGGACCCTCTGCGGTCTACCTGAGACGCATGTTCGCGACGGGCAGCATCAAGAGCAGGACATTCCCACAATATGCGATGCATCGTGCAGGAATTGTTTGCACGCGGTCGACACAGGGCATCGTCCGCGTACCCGAGCTGGTGGAGACGCGCAGGCGCCCACATGCCACCAGTAACGAACGCTCGTAGCAGTCCTGCCTCTCATGAGACCAGTTCCTAGCGCGCGGCGTGCCGTGGGGGTCCTGCTGTGGGCCTGGTTCACAAGGTTTGTCGGGGTCGATGTCTTCAGTAGTTTCATCGGGGGGAAACTCTCGTCCCAAGATATTGACAATCGGTCCCAGCCAATATTCCGCGGGCTCTTTGGGTTTCATTGGCTCGGACGAGCCATCAGGCCGACTGGCCCAATGGGCCCGCGACCTTCTCATGGCCGGTACCCTGACAACCGCTAGTATCGTAGATGGGGCCTCCTTCCGAAAATCCAAGACATCACCCATATCAGTGCGTGCCAGATGCCCAGAGGAGGTACGCCATCCCAGTTCCCGAATAGCCAGCAAGGTAGCACCCGCAGGTCCAGCGACCCTGGTCCATGGTTTGGGATGGTTGTATATAACCTGGATCTGTTTAGCCCATGCCCGTTGCAGAACATCGCCAGGCACTGCGCGGTCTCGATGAAGGAGAGACCATTGGTAGATGGGAGCGTACCGCGCCATGGCCTGAGGGTCAGAGTGCTGGTGTCCCTGTAGGCAGGAGGTGACCCAAGTCGAGGTAGCGGCCCCTGGCGTAGGCCAGGCGCTTCGAAAAATGCGTCTCATTCTAGCCGCTAGCCGTGGGGGGGCTCCGTGCGCTCCCACTCCGTAGGCCATGGCTGGCGGCGTGGCCTGGCGCACAAAACGCGCAGCCAATTTGCCAGCGCGACGCGCCGAGCGGAACCTTGGTGCCCGACGACCGACTGCGCGCACTCTCGACCGCAGCTTGGTGTACCGAAGGGGGCGCCCTGAGGAAATGTCAGTGCCCGAGACTTCGAGGGCGTTGCAGCAGGTGTGCCCCAAGGATCGGACCATGCTGCGCACCCGACGTCCAAGTTGAGGGTTGCTAGAAGTGACCTTCATCTTGTTCCGAGCCGCAGGCAACCCCAAACTATCCAGAACGCCCATAAGTATCCTCAACATCTTGGGGGAATCATCAAGGAGCTTCTGCGCAGAACCCGATGCATCCAGGGTGATATCGTCTGCGTACAGGTCGATGGTGCGTGCTATCCTGGCCGCGTGCTTATATAGTGCGTCAAAGGGCGTGAGCTTGATGCGTTGTAAGGCGAACGCGGCGAAACCGCATCCTGGCAACGCTCCGCGCCGAACCCAAGTAACATCGGAAAAAGTGTTATCCCAGGCCAGCCGGCGGGCTCCAGAGTACACTCGCGAGGCCATGGGAAGCAAGGTTCCTGGGGACCCGTGAACCATCCCAGCCTGGATAGGCTTATCCCGCGGAACCTCGTCGAGACACTTCCCGATGTCAACAATGGCGTGGAGTGATACATGTCGGCTGGAGTCGGAGCCTAGTCCTCCAGCCTCGGCATGAACGAGTAACCTGGCAGCAACGTCCGTGGTCGATTTCTGGGCGCCGAGGGCCAGGTAGGCCGGATTGAGTTGTGAAGCCCAGGCCCGAACCCAGGTCATCCTAGCTCTCACCCAGATCCGATGCACCGACGGCAGCAAAGCAATCGGCCTATAGCCCCCCGAGGGCTCTGCCAGGAGGACAATATGGACGTTCCTGACTATATCGGGCCAAGTCCCAAACACTTCACAAAGGTAAGCAGATGCCCCCGGAAAGATAAGGCTTCGTTTGTCAACAATGCTCAGTGCCGAGGCCGAAATCGGTCTGCACCAGCCGCGGTGCGACGCTGAAATTGGGGTGCAGCGGCACGTAGCTCAGCAAGTCTAAGTGGCGGCAACCAAGGACCGTGCTCGCATAGATGGCGCATTTCATCCACCATGCCGTCCGAGACGGTTTCGTCATGCATACTCCCAAAAACGTCGTCAGGTGATTCATCACACGCATTCCAAACTTGGGCCCAGGATTGCCGTTGGGCCTGAACGACGTCGCCTGGGAAGCTGGTGGGCCCCACAGCCCCATCGACCTGGGATGAGCACCGCCCGCGCGGCTTAGTCCATCGGTGAACTGGCCCAGGTTGTGTGTCCAACTTTGTGCGGGGCCAGGCAGCGAAAGAGGTGGATCTAGCTTGTGCAAGTCGGCTCTCTTCTATAGCGGCCAGGCGCCCAAGATAGCCCCCCTACGAGCTGAAAGAGGTGTCCCTGGGTGCCCGCGGGAGAGATCGCCGCCTGCTGGATCAGGTAGACGACGATATCACAAATGGCAGGGGGCATGTGTTTTCGCATCCTGCCATGTCGGCGGTTCCCCGACAGAAACTCACAGAGGAAGCCCCAAGCCCGAGACTCGTTAGGGGACCCATGTCGAGCAATGCGGATGTCATGCGCACGAAGCTGCAGAATCTCTATAGCTCTGGAAGCCTGGGTCCCTGAGGGCTGGTATCTGGCTAACGCTCCCCCAGAGGTCGACATGCGATAGCGAGGCCCACGCGAGCGTCCTGCCATGCGATCATGCCTTCCGGTGCCTGAAAAAGCGGCGCAAGCTCAGCTTCTTTTCCATCGTATAGAGCTCGGCTGCGCTGGTCGAGTCGATCTCTGTGGTCGCCGTGTTGACCCAGACGGTGCGCCGAATCCGCTGCCATGAGATCGGTCCAAGGCATGTCAGGCTGGCCCCTGGAAAGATCAAAACTCAATTCACAGTCATCGTCCTCCTCGGTAGTCTGGAACTTGGCCTTCATCTGTATAGGAAGGGTCCAGGGCCCGATAACACCGTGACCGCATGTGACTGCACTCCCCCAAGAATGGAGGTCTCACCGCGTAGTGGTTCCTGGGAGGAAAGTCCGCAAGTGTGACTGGTGCGGTTCTGGAAGGCGCGATGTTGTCACTGGCCATCCAGTAGTCAAGGAGGCTGCGCTTTCCTGATTTCGGGTCACGGTAAGTACCTTCCGTGGGAACAATGAGCCTTGCCTGCAACCGATCACATAGTCCTGAATCAATTAGGCGTTGAGGAGAGACGTTCCAATTCCCTCCGAAGCAATTCGGCAGCTTGCAGTATGACAATGTGGCTCCAATTGCTCTCAGTTTGTCAGTGTTGGGGCATCCCAATTGGTGCCCTTGTTCCAGGTAGACGGACCCGACCAGGACACCATGACGAGGCCCCGCATGTATATGCATAAAGACAGCAAATGCTGGGACAACAACATGATCAGCATAATGACCTGGTACTGGAACGTCAATGTGATTGGGCACGAACATGCCCAGTCCTCCACTGCCAAGACTATCGTGATGGTCTCCAGGTGCTGCAGGGGTCATGAAAAAGACTTCCAGCCATTCGCACTTGCCCACTCAAGAGGCCGCAAGTACCGATCTCCACGCAGCTTGTGCTCTTGAATGAGAGCAGTGGCATTACGTGGCCCATCCGGTAGGAGAGCCGTCGCCTGCGGCCAGCCATTTGAGTTGAAAGTGATGACACGGACATCCGTCTTCTTTGACGCCGTCTTGGGAGCCCGCTTCCATGGGCGGTTCGAGGGCCGCTGAGAAACTGCAGGGGCCTCCGTGGGCACAGAGCGGACCATCCGAGCAAGCTTCCGAGGCCGCGAAGACGGTGGGGCAGTCGGACGAGAATGTATAGGCAAAGCCGCATTAGAAGGGTGTGCAGGCGAGGTATCACAAGGTGCCATCGCTTGTGCGGTACGACCCCCGTCCGCATCACGTGCAAGCCGAGGTGGGCAAGCGCTGCCGGCAGCGGCTCCATGCGGCTGTCCCGTTGGGGCAGCTGACTGAGCAGGAAGCCAGCGATCTTCACCACCGCGCTGGACCACGCGAAGCGGTCCTGACGAGCTAGTGGCATGAAACTGGAAATCCGCCTGCTGCGTGGGCAAGTTGCACGTGTGCAGTATTTCCATGCGCCATCGACGTCGAGTGGGCGCGAGATCGGCCTCGCTCGATCTCAGTTCAGGGCGGCGCAGGTCCCGAGAGCAGATCGCAGCTGCTTCTCAGTGGCCTTCGCGCCCTGAAGATCCGTCGCCGCACCGCCGTTGACTTGAATGAGGGTGATGTGATCATCCATGCCTGCGTCCACATCATTATCAGCAGGATCGGACGCTGGCAGTTGGTGACCAGGGTGGGCACCGCCTTCCCCAGGCGTGACGCCTTGGGCGTCGCCAGTGTGGTCACGAAGTGCCGCCATCATGTTCATCGCAGCGTCAAGCGCGCGCGTCGCCTCACCGATCATGAAGTCAGCACAAGGTTGGTCAGACATCCCACTGGCAAGGTGCAATCGGGTGTCCCGAAGCGCGCGAAGACGCTGCGCCATCATGCCGTGCCACCGTTGGCGGTTATCCAGGTAGATAGTCCGAACATGTTTCAAATGTCGGCGAAGGCGAGAGGCACGTTGAAACCGCGCGTAGTGACAGATGCGCTCCGCCAACTCCTTTCGCTGGGCACCAGTAGGAGCTATGCTGTTGAGACCATCGTGCTCTCGTATGCATAATTCCACGTAGGGAACGCACCGGAAATCCCAGTCCTCCTGAGCCATGGTGTCGTCCCAGGTGATGACGTCAGCGTACCAGTGGCCCACGAAGGTCTCCATGCGGTCAGTGAGCTCCTCCTCTTCTGGTGTGTTCGGCAGCGCGTCAGGTGCGCAAGTGGGCTGGGCCGCAGGGGGAGCTGAGGCACCATCACCATCGAAACGAACAGCAGTATGCCGATAACTGCTGGGCCCAACGAGCGCGGGCTCTGATTCGCCCTTAGAGTGCAGGTAACCAAAACCGCTGGGAGAGTATCTTCTGAACACTGCCGTGTTGCTGAGCCACCATCAGCTGACGCTGGCGCAGTTAATCCGTGGGAAGCAAACGTGCCACAAGCGCCGCCTGAGTCGCCATCAGGCCTGTGTGTATTCAGAACTGCAGCATAGTCTGAACCAATGTGTATGGAAGAGGCGCCTTCCTCAGCTGCTCGGCATGCACCAAGCCTGCGGAGATCAGGCACGAAGAAAGACATTTCGCCACAACTACTCTGGGATGATTGCAGCTGGGGCAGCACCTGTTGCTGTCGCTGTCGCTGCAGACGCTGAACCAGGCGTTGCAGTTGAACTGAATGTGGCGGAACCGCCCGTGGACATGACCAGGTCTTGGGCTGTGACTGCTCCATGTAGGTAGGCGTCCAGACCATGGGGGGGGGGCAACCCCGTGCGCGGCACAGGGGCCGCGGGCGGTGGCCCATGTCCCACTGGTGGCGCCACGTTGCGCTTGTGCTCCTTGAAGGCTTTGTGGAGCTCCGGCAGGTGGATTCCGATGCTGTTGAGAGCCGTGGTGGTATTTCATGCCTGGGCAGCTGCTGGTGCGGCAGCCACCCTCGCTTCAAGGCGCTCCAAAGCCTGATCGACGTCAAGGACTCCGTCGGGGCCAGCCTGCGGAATTGTTGCCGCCATGACCGCTGCTCGGGCCGCAGCCGCTTCGAGGCGTATCGCTGCCAGCCCATCAGTGAGCGTCGCGAGCGCTGCCTGCTGGTCGGCCAACTGCTGCTGGAGAGCTTTGACCTCGGCGTCGGTTGTCTCGTGCTCACGCAGCTTGGCGGTCTGCCTGTCAAGCGCTCTGCGGAGGAGGTCATCTGGCGCGCGGCTTGCGCGCTCGACCTCCTCCGCTTCAGCCAAGTGCCTCTTGGCGGCGATGATGAGGTCGCTGGTTTCGTCCAGCTGGAGGCGTCGCAGGGCCTGCAGTGCCTTCCGTGCCCGCGCCACGGGATCCACCTCCTCTGGGGCCGATCCGTCTGAGGCTGCATCCCGACCGCCTCCGCTGGCGGCACGTCGCGCCGCCCCTGCGGACGAAGACCGCGGACGTCCTGCTGTTGCACGCCCACCTCCATCTGGATCTGGCCGCCCTTGCCGATCGCGACCGCAGCGATAGCAACGGTCGTTGCCAGCAAAACTGCGCTGGAAACCACACTGCCTCGTCGCGGTGCACGCCCATCGCCCCTTGGGCGGGCCGCGGGGCTCATCCTGGCGGCCCGCTTTGCCCATGGGCAGGGGTCCTGGAGGACGGGATCCGTGGTGTTGACGGAGGACGTGGACGGCGCGGTGGAGGCGCAGGAGCAGGCGAGCCTGCCCGCGCTTCCTGCGCAGCCTCCGATGCCACCCTGGTGATGGCTGCCTCCTGCGCTTGGATGAGGCAGCGGGGGAGGAGGCCGCGGCACCCGCCGCCTCCGTGCCGCCGCTGCAGGCCTCGCACCGCGGCGGTCGCGCCAGGCGCCTGGCGGGGCTTGTGGGTGGGGGCTCCCAATGCTGGCGCGCCCCGCGCCCCCGCGGGCAAAACAGCTGCTGGGGGGCGATGGGGGGCCAGCTAGGAGCCACCTGGAGGATTGAGGAGGAGGAGGAGGAGGAGGAGGAGGAGGAGGAGGAGGAGGAGGAGGAGGAGGAGGAGGAGGAGGAGGAGGAGGAGGAGGAGGAGGAGGAGGAGGAGGAGGATCATGAAGGAGGAGGAGGGTCGAGGAGGAGGATCGAATGTCGAGGATGTGGATCGAGGAGGATGAAAAGTAAAAGGAGTAGGATCGATGGGGGCGGACCAAGGAGGAGGATAGAGGATCAGGAGATGGGTCGAGGATCGACCTCCCCCCCCCTTCGCCGCCTGCGCCAGGGCGGCGAGCAGCTGGCGGGCGCCGCGCGGCCGCAGCCAGAACCCGAGAGGAAAAAGGGCGCCATGCGGTGCTCCGCGTGCGGCGCAGAGCTCGAGGACACGACGTCCTTCTGCCTCCGTCGGCCTCCTGCCTCCTCCAGCCTCCTCGTCCTCCTGCCTTCTCCTGCCTCGTCGTCCTCCTCCTCGTCCTCCTTCCTCCCTCCCTTTTTTCTCCCTCCCTCCCTCCCTCCCTCCCTCCGTCCCTCCGTCCCTCCTCCTCACTCCTCCATCATCCTCATCCCTCCTTGCTCGCTCCCTCCCTCGCTCCCTCCCTCCCTCCCTCCTCATCATCCTCGTCCCTCCTTCCTCGCTCCTCCTCCTCTTCTTCTTCTCCTTTCTTTTTTCACATTCTTCCTTATACTTCCCCCCTCCTCCTAGTCTTCCCTTTCCTCCTCCTTCCTCCCCATCCTTCCCCTTTTCTTCCATCCTCCTTCCCCTCTCCCCCCTCCCCCTCCTCCCCCCTCCTCCCCCTTCCTCCTTCTCCTCCTCCTCCTCCTCCTCCTCCTCCTCTTCCTCCCTCTCTCCCTCTAGGACGCGGCGAGCTACCGGGCGCACTGCAAGAGCGACTGGCACAACCACAACCTGAAGAGGAAGGTTAAGTCGCTGCCGCCCGTCTCCGAGGAGGACTTCGTGGAGATAAGCCTGGACATCCGCGAGGGCTTCACCACGGACACGTACTGAGCGCCCGCCGCCACCGCGGCGGAGAATGGCAGACCGCTGCTGTAAGACCTCACCGCCGCAGAGCGATCCTCGAAGTTCCTTGCCTCCTCTCGTTCGCTCGCTCGCTCTCTCTGTCTCCCTCTTCCTCCCTCTCGCTTGCTCCCTCTCCCTCTCCCTGCCCCTCTCCCTCTCTCTCTCTCTCTCTCCTGGTCTCTCCTCCCTTTCTCTCTCTCTCGCATCTCTCTCTCTCTCTTTCCCTCCCCCCTCCCCCCCCCTCCGCCCCTTCCCTCCTCCACAATTACACAATATGAAAATACTCTCCCACTTCCCCTGATGGCGTCCCGAAGATGGCCGACCCCCCCCGCGTACTGTTTTTTTACACACAGGATTCCCGGGAAACGGGTTTTCGCCTGCGTTTTTTTCAAAATGCTGCTCTCGCTGAGGCGCCGGCCTCATTTCTGCTCCCGAATCGTTCCGAATCGTGCTCCCGCTGCAGCGTGGGCCTCATTTTCGGATCGGTGTTTGGCCTCCGTCGTTCAGGATGGCGTTCTCGCCCCAGCGCGGGCCTCTTTCTCGCGCGCCCATCCGCCCGCCACACCGCGCCGCACCACGCCACCACCACCACCACACCACACCCCACCACCACCACCACCCCACCACACCACCACCACCAGCATCACAATCACCAGCAGCAGCAGCAGAGACACCACCACCAGCAGCAGCAGCAGCAGCAGCAGCCACCCCACCACCACCACCACCACAACCACGCACACACGCACGCACGCACGCACGCGCACCACCACCCACTACGCACGCGCGCGCGGAGCCACAGGTCCGCTACGACACGCGTCCGCGGATAGGGAAAATCAGCGCCATGGTGAGGGATGGGAGGGAGGGGGTAGGACGTCAGAGATGACGCGAGCGCACCTAGCTTGCCCTCCCCCCCTCCCCCTCCGCCGCTCCTCCCCTCCTGCCCTCTGCCTCGGCCCCCTCCTGCCCCATCCCTGCGGGAGCACGCCGTGCGGTGCCCGGGCCTCTCCCCTCCCCCTCCCTCGGGGGGGGTCGGGCCCCAGGTCGGCCAGGACCCCCGAGAGTGCTCGCGTGAGCCCTGGGGAGGGCGACGACGACGACGACGACGACGACATGGAGGCGACGACGACGACGACGACGACGAAGACTGTGACGACTGTGGCGACGACTTTTTTCTTTGGGTCTGCGGGTCGGGAGCGGGCCCCTTCCGGTCAAGAGCTAAACGGGACGCGGGTAGCCCTAATTGGGGAGACAGGGCGTGGGCGGGCGGGGCCTCAGGCGGCCGGAGGGCTCAGAAACAGGCGGTGCCGAAGATCTTGCACAGGACAAGGTACGCCATGGATTGGAGCAGGGGGCGCGGTCCCAGAGGGAAAGTGGATTGGTGTTGCCGTCATCGGCGCGCCAAGAACACCATCCTCGAGTGCTGCGTGAGGAGGGCCGTGAGCAAGCCAACGTCCGCGAGGTAGAGGAAGACCAGGAAGGCGAAATGCACCAGGTGCCACCGACTGGTAAGGAGGGGCCCAGGAGATGCGGACGACCACGAAGTCGATGTGCAGCGTTGTGCCACTGGGCGGTCAGTAGCGGCCTGGGGTGGTAGTCCAATCCACGTCCAGGTAGCAGCCACGAGGTTCGGCATGAAGGCTGACTGTGTCCGCCTGCCGTGGGCCGGGCCGGAGCCGGGCTGCCCAGGGTGAGCGGGGCCGCCGAGGCGGCAAGGTGCAGAGCCAGCACCGGGCCGGAGCCGCGCTGTGCCGGACGCTGCCGCCATGGGAGGGGGGGAGAGCGAACGGGGAGGAAAAAGCGGGCAGGGAGGAGAGAGGCCAGCGTCTCACGCCGGCCGGAGTCCCGAGGTGCCCGCGTGGGGACACGTCCCAATAGGCACAGGTAAGGCCCGATGCCCCAGCGCGGGCGTGCCACGCACGTCGCCGCCGCACGTCGCAGGTAAGAACAGGGGGGACAGAGTCCCAGATCCTTGAGTCAACTCCAGGCGATGGGTACAGGGGGGACACAGAGTCCCAGGTCCTCGAATCACGCTCAGCCGATGGGTACAGGTGGGACTTGGAGTCCCATATCCGTGGGAAACAGCCGATGGGCACAGGGGGGGCACAGAGTCCCAGGTCAGGGAAACTCAATCAGCCGATGCATACAGGTAGGACACAAAGTCCCATATCCTTGTACACAAGAGAGGAGGAGAGGAGGAGGAGGAGAGGAAGGGGCCCAGGTGACACAAAGTCCCATATCCTTGTACACAAGAGAGGAGGAGAGGAGGAGGAGGAGAGGAAGGGGCCCAGGTGAGCAGGGAAGGGGACACGCGGTCCCCCTTCCTGTGAACAGGGGCCCAGGTGAACAGGGGCCCAGGTGAACAGGGGCCCAGGTGAACAGTCGGGTGTCAGCTGGGGGTTTGGAACGGGGACGGGGGCGCAGGTAGTGGGAGTGGCTGGCCAGTTCGGCAGTGGTGCTGCGGGGGAGGTGTGGTAGGGCTGGGCATGGTGCTGGGAGTGGCAGTGCTGCTGGAACCGGTCGTGCTCGTCACACTCATGGTGCTGCACTCGGTCGTACTGCTCGCCGTCGTGCTGGACGTAGGGGGGCTGCTGGTACCGGTCGTGCTCGTCATACTCGTGTTGCTGCTGGAACGGGTCGTGCTCGTCACACTCGTGATGCTGCTCTCGGTCGTACTGCACGCCGTCGTGCTGGACGTAGGGGTGCTGCTGGTACTGGTCGTGCACGTCATACGCATGGTGCTGCTGGAACGCTTCGTGCTCGTCACACTCGTGATGCTGCTCTCAGTCGTACTGCTTGCCGATGTGCTGCGCATAGTGGAGCTGCTGGTACCGGTTGTGCTCGTCGAACTCGTGGTGCTGCACTCGGTCGTACTGCTCGCCGACATGCTGGGCGTAAAGGAGCTGCTGGTCCCGGTCGTGCTCGTCACACTCGTGGTGCTGCTCTCGGTCGTAATGTTTGCCGACGCGCTGGGCGTAACAGTGCTGCTGGTAACGGTCGTGCTCGACAGATCCGTGGTGCTGCTCGCGGTCGTACTGTTCACCGACATGCTGTGCGTAGTGGCGCTGTAGGTACGGGTCGTGAACGTCACCCTCGTGGTGCTGCTCTCGGACGTCTTGCTCTGACGTGCTGGGCGTAACGGTGCTGCTGGTACCGGTCGAGCTCGTCACACTCGTGGTGCGGCGCCCTGTCGTACTGCTCGCCGACTTGCTGGGCGTAGTGCCGCTGCATTTACGGGTCGCGCTCGTCACGCTCGTGGAGCTGCTTTCGTACCGCTCGCCGACGTGCTGGGCATAGTGATGACGCGGGTGCATGCCATGCTCGTAACACACGTGGTGCTGCTCTCGGTTGTACTGCTCGCCGACTTGCTGGGCGTAGTGGTGTTGCAGGTGCGGGTCGTGCTCGTCCCACTCGTGGTGCTACTCACGGACGTATTGCTCGCCGACGTGCTGGGCGTAGTGGTGTCACTGGTACTGGTCGTGCTTGTCATACTCGTGGTGCTGCTCGCGATCGTACTGCTATCCGACGTGCTGGGCGTAGTGGTGCCGCTGGTAATGGTCCTGCTCGTTACACTAGTGACCCTGCTCTCGCGTACCGCTCGCCGACGTGCTGGGCGTAGTGGTACTGCGGGTACCGGCCGCGCTCGTCACATTGGTGGTGCTGCTCTCGGTCGTATTGCTCGCCGACGTGTCGGTGGTGCTGCAGGTACCAGTCATGCTCGTTACCCTCGCAGTGCTGCTCCCGGTCGTACTGCTTGTCGGCGTGCAGGGGGTAGTGATGCCGCTGGTACCAACCGTGCTTCTTACACTGGTGGTTTTGCTCTCGGTCGTACTGCCCGCAGACGTGCTAGGCGTAGTGGTGCTGACGGTGGCGGTCGTACTCGACGTACGCGTGGTGCTGCTCTCGGTCGTACTATTCTCTGATGTGCTGGGCTTGGTGCTGCTGATATCGGCTGCGCTCGTCACACTCGTGGGGCTGCTCTCGGTCGTACAGCTCTCGATGTGCTGGGCATAACAGTGCTGCTGGTACCAGTCGTGCTCGCCGCACCCGTGCTGTTGCTCTAGGTCGTATTGCTCGCCGACGCGCAGGGCGTAGTGGTGCTGCTGGTAGCGATCGCGCTCGTCGCACCTGTGGTGCTGCTCTCGGTGGTACCGCTCGCCGACGTGCTGGGCGCAGTGGTGCTGCTGGTAGAGTTCGCGCTCGCCATACTCGTGGAGCTGCTCTCGGTCATGCTGCTCCCCGACGTGATGAGCGTAGTGGTGTCGCTGGTACACTGGTACCGGTCATAATTGTCATATTCGTGGTGCTGCTTTCGGTCGTACTCTCCGACGTGTTGGGCGTAGTGGTGCTGCTGGTACCAGTCGCGCTCGCCACACTCGTGGGGTTGCTCTCGGTCGTACTGCTCGCCGCTGTGCTGGGTAGTGGTGCTGTTGGCACCGGTCGCGCACGTCCCACCCGTGGTGCTGCTCCCGGTCGTACTGCTCGCCGACCTGCTGAGCGTAGTGGTGCTGCTGGCATCGGTCGCGCTCGTCATATCCGTGGTGCCGCTCTCGGTCGTACTGCCCGCAGACGTGCTGGGCTTGGTGGTACTGCTGGTAGCGGTCGCGCTCGTAACGTTGGTGGTGCTGCTCTCGGTCCGGCGGCAGCAGGGCCCGCGGCGCGGGCAGCAGCGGCGCGCCGCTGCCGCAGCCGCCGCGCCGCTGGGGTCTCCAGGGAGGCGGCGGCCGCGGCCGCGGGGCAGACGGCGGGCCAGGCCGCCGCGGCCGCGCGGGGAGCAGCGGCCGCCCCGCGACGACGACGATGACGACGACGACGGCGACGACGACTTCGATGGGGACGGGGTTGGGGATTGGGGATGGGGATTGGGATTCGGATGGGGACGACGGCGACAATGGCGACCGCGACAACGACGACGACAACGATTGGGATGGGGCCAGAGTTTGGGATGTGAATCGGGATGGGTATTGGAATGGGGACGTCGAAGACGGCGT